TTGGAAATCCCACCAACTTCGATCATTGAGACAAGACAAATCACGAATCGACATGATAAATGAATTAGATGAGAGTACAGTGTTGATCACCCAAGACTGGGCGATGAAATTTCTTCCCCAGAAGTATCGAGAAACTCAGACCGATTGGTTCGGAAAGAGAGGGATTAGTTGGTACATATCTGTAGTGGTCAGAAGAACAGCAGCAGGACAGCTCCAGCACCAAACATTTGTATACATTGCAAAAAACTGTAGCCAAGACAGCAACGACGTGGTGTCTATCATGGAACACACCCAGAGGCAACTCAAACGTAAGCATCCTGAAATCACTGGTGCTGTGCACAAGCAAGACAACGCGGGGTGTTATCACAGTGCAGCTATGATAACTGCCGGTCACTTCATGCAGAAAGAGACCGGAATTAGAGTTAAGCGTATTGATTTTAGCGATCCTCAAGGAGGGAAAGGCTCTTGTGATCGTAAGGCCGCAACGATCAAAGCACACGTTCGTCGTTACATTAACGAAGGACACGATGTTTTCAATGCAGAAGTCTCAAAGGAAGCCATTCTCTCCCATGGTGGTGTGCKTGGTGTTAGAGTTGCTGTGATTGACGCTGCTGGCTTACAAACAATCCAGGGAATTAAACTAGTTGGGATTAACTCCTTTAATAATTTCAAGTACAGCAAAGATAAGCTTACGATGTGGAAAGCCTATGACATTGGTAAAGGGAAATCTCTTGACTGGGCTACACAACAAGGTAATTAATGAATTTTTATTTAAGCCCTCCTTATTTATTGTTTTYAATATTACGATCATTATATATGTTTTCGTTTTGGTTTTTTCCCACAACGAAAATGATAAACTGGTAGTGAAAAGGGGAGAAAAAAACTACGAAAAAAAGAATATAAGAAAAAACAAGAACATGAAGAGAGAGAGAGAGAGAGAGAGAGAATTAATAAATAAGAACTAATCAATATATCTTTTCTTTTTTTTTTTTGTTTTTTTGTTAGATCTTCGAAGCCCTTCCTTTGCAAAGTTTATCGAATCTTTTGTTGAAATCATTCAACGACCGGAGAGTGTGAAGGCCCAAGAAAGTAGAAATAACGAAAAAGATAAAGTGGAAGACGACGTGGAAGACAGTGAAGGATCAACCGCAAAACTTTTCGTCTGCCCTAAAGATAGCTTTGTTAAAGAGTACAAGATATATAGTTCTCTTGAAAACCACATCCAATATGGTGAGTGTAAGCGTGTTCAAGAGAGAGAGAGCTTAATGGATAAGGCCAAGATTATTTACCGAGAAAAATTACTTTATGGTGCTGATAGTGTCCCAGATATGTCCAGCTCGATGCTCTACACCTCACCGGCAGATGACTGTCTACCAATGGGCTGGGCTTTGAAAAGATCTAAAAAGACATCGCGATTCAGTGACCGACAGAAACTTTATCTTAACGACAAGTTTTTAATAGSACAGGCAACTGGCCACAAGATTGACGCAAAGACTGTATCGCGCGACACGAGATATGCTAAAGACAGCAGTGGCAACAGGCTGTTCACGATTGATGAGTTCTTAACACCACAGCAAATACAATCGTATTTCAGTGGAACAGCTGCAAAGCTGAAAGGCGTACCAGTAGATACCCTAGCTGTAGATACCCTAGCAGCGGAAGAGCAATTCGCTGCAGCTACAGAGGAAGAAGGCTATCAATCGACGCGAGAGGAAGTCATCCAGCAATGTGGGCTTCTACATCCCATTACATACGAGACCTACAATCTTTGTCGGCTTAACAAGTCTAATGG